TTCAATTTCAAATCGAAAAAGTGCTTTCCCGAAGACTAAAGTAGTCTTGTGCCAACGTTGGCACTCTATTACTTTAGTCTGCGGGATCCTTTCTCTTCAATTTCTAATTGAAAAAGTGCTTTCCCGAAGACTAAAGTAGTCTTGTGCCAACGTTGGCACTGTATTCCTTTAGTCTGCGGGATCCTTTCTCTTCAATTTCTAATTGAAAAAGTGCTTTCCCGAAGACTAAAGTAGTCTTGTGCCAACGTTGGCACTGTATTACTTTAGTCTGCGGGATCCTTTCTCTTCAATTTCTATATGAAAAAGTGCTTTCCCGAAGACTAAAGTAGTCTTGTGCCCTTCCCGAAGACTAAAGTAGTCTTGTGCCAACGTTGGCACTGTATTACTTTAGTCTGCGGGATCCTTTCTCTTCAATTTCAAATTGAAAGTGCTTTCCCGAAGACTAAAGTAGTCTTGTGCCTTCCCTGAAGACTAAAGTCCCCACGTGCCCATGCGTTGGCACTGTGGCGCATTAGTTCTGCGGATCCTTTCTCTTCATTTCTAATTGAAAAAGCTTCAATTTCTAATTGACCAAGTGCTTTCCCGAAGACTAAAGTAGTCTTGTGCCAACGTTGGCACTGTACCAGTTTAGTCTGCGGGATCCTTTCTCTTCAATTTCTAATTGAACAAGTGCTTTCCCGAAGACTAAAGTAGTCTTGTGCCAACGTTGGCACTGTATTAACTTTAGTCCGCGGGATCCTTTCTCTTCAATTTCTAATTGAAAAAGCGCTTTCCCGAAGACTAAAGTAGTCTTGTGCCAACGTTGGCACTGTATTACTTTAGTCTGCGGGATCCTTTCTCTTCAATTTCTAATTGAAAAAGTGCTTTCCCGAAGACTAAAGTAGTCTTGTGCCAACGTTGGCATTGTATTACTTTAGTTTGCGGGATCCTTTCTCTTCAATTTCTAATTGAAAAAGTGCTTTCCCGAAGACTAAAGTAGTCTTGTGCCAACGTTGGCACTGTATTACTTTAGTCTGCGGGATCCTTTCTCTTCAATTTCAATTGAAAAAGTGCTTTCCCGAAGACTAAAGTAGTCTTGTGCCCACGTTGGCACTGTATTACTTTAGTCTGCGGGATCCTTTCTCTTCAATTTCTAATTGAAAAGTGCTTTCCCGAAGACTAAAGTAGTCTTGTGCCAACGTTGGCACTCTATTACTTTAGTCTGCGGGATCCTTTCTCTTCAATTTCTAATTGAAGAAGTGCTTTCCCGAAGACTAAAGTAGTCCTGTGCCAACGTTGGCACTGTATTACTTTAGTCTGCGGGATCCTTTCTCTTCAATTTCTAATTGAAGAAGTGCTTTCCCGAAGACTAAAGTAGTCTTGTGCCAACGTTGGCACTGTATTACTTTAGTCTGCGGGAGCCTTTCACTTCAATTTCTAATTGAAAAAGTGCTTTCCCCAAGACTAAATTAGTCTTGTGGGCCAACGTTGCAACGCTATTTACTTTTAGACTGGGGGACTGTATACTTAGTCGCGGATCCTTTCTCTCAATTCTATATTGGAAAAAGTGCTTTCTCCCGAAGACTAAAGTATCCTTGTGCCAACGTTGGCAACTGTATTACATTAGTCTGCGGGGATCCATTCTCTTTAATTTCTAATGAAGAAGGTGCTTTCCCCGAAGACTCAAAGTAGTCCTGTACCAACGTTGCACAGTAAGTGCTTTCCCGAAACTAAAGTCTACATGTGCCAACGTTGGCACACTATTACTTTAGTCTGCCTGGATCCTTTCTCTTCAATTTCTAAAATTGAAAAAGGAGGCCTTTTTTTTTTTCCCGAAGACTAAAGTAGTCTTGTGTTGGCCCTGCATTACTTTAGTCTGCGGGATCCTTTCTCTTCAAATTTCTAATTGAAAAAGTGCTTTCCCGAAGACTAAAGTAGTCTTGTGCCAACGTTGGCGCTGTATTACTTTAGTCTGCGGGATCCTTTCTCTTCAATTTGTAATTGAAAAAATGCTTTCCCGAAGACTAAAGTAGTCTTGTGCCAACGTTGGCACTGTATTACTTTAGTCTGCGGGATCCTTTCTCTGCAATTTCTAATTGAAAAAGTGCTTTCCCGAAGACTAAAAGTAGTCTTGTGCCAACGTTGGCACTGTATTACTTTAGTCTGCGGGATCCTTTCTCTTCAATTTCTAATTGAAAAAGTGCTTTCCCGAAGACTAAAGTAGTCTTGTGCCAACGTTGGCACTGAATTACTTAGACCTCCGGCTTCAGTCCGCCGACATTGTCTTCTCCCTTTTCCTGCTTCTTCCTCTCTTCCTTTGTCTCCGCTCGTGTGTCTGTCGTCCTCTCTCCCCTCTCGCTGCTCCCTCCTCCACAATCCCATCCCCCCATAGCCTCTCCTCCCCCACAATCTCCCTCTTCTCGTATGTAAGCATGCATGTCAATAAAGTAATGTAATGCAGTATGTATGTATGTATGTTTGTATGTAATGTATGTAATGTAATGTTAAGGACAGTAAGTAACGTAAGTAAGTATGTAAGTATGTAATGTTAAATGTAAGTATAATGTAATGTAATGTAATGTAACTGTAATGTAATTAATGTATGTAAGTATGTAATGTAATTAAATGTAATGGAATGTAACGTAATCAAATGTAATGTAAAATCTAATCTTAATCAAATTAATGTATGTATGTATGTATGTATGTATGAATGTAATTATGTAATGTATGTATGTATGTATGTATGTATGTATGTATGTATGTAATGTATGTATGTATGTATGTATGTATGTATGTATGTATGTATGTAATGTATGTATGTATGTATGTATGTATGTATGTATGTATGTATGTAATGTATGTAATGTATGTATTGTATGTATGTATGTATGTATGTATGTATGTATGTATGTATGTATGTATGTATGTAAAATGTATGTATGTATGTATGTAATGTATGTATGTATGTATGTATGTATGTATGTATGTATGTAATGTATGTATGTATGTATGTATGTATGTATGTATGTATGTATGTATGTATGTATGTATGTATGTATGTAATGTATGTATGTATGTATGTATGTATGTATGTATGTATGGTATGGTATGTATGTATGTATGTATGTATGTAATGTATGTATGTATGTATGTATGTATGTATGTATGTAATGTATGTATGTATGTATGTATGTATGTATGTATGTATGTATGTAATGTATGTCTGTATGTATGTATGTATGTATGTATGTATGTATGTAAAGTAACGTAAAGTAAAGTAATGTAACTGTATATGCATGTAAAGTAAATGTTACGTAAGTAATTATGTCTGTAATGTAAATGTACATGTAATGTAATGTAGGTAAATGTCATTAATGTATGTATGTATGTATGTATGTATGTATGTATGTATGTATGTATGTATGTATGTATGTATGTATGTATGTATGTATGTATGTAAAGTATGTATGTATGTATGTATGTATGTATGTATGTATGTATGTATGTATGTATGTATGTATGTATGTATGTATGTATGTATGTATGTATGTATGTATGTATGTATGTATGTATGTATGTATGTATGTATGTATGTATGTAATGTATGTATTAATGTAATGTAGTGTAATGTAATGTAATGTAATGTATGTATGTAATGTATGTATGTATGTATGTATGTATGTATGTATGTATGTATGTATGTAATGTATGTATGTATGTATGTATGTATGTATGTATGTATGTATGTATGTATGTGGGTATGTAGGTATGTAGGTATGTAGGTATGTAGGTATGTAGGTATGTATGTAATGCATGTATGTATGTATGTATGCATGCATGTATGTATGTATGTATGTTTGTATGTAGTGTATGTTTGAAATGTATGTATGTATGTATGCATGCATGCATGCATGCATGCATGCATGTATGTATGTATGTATGTATGTATGTATGCATTTCCCGCAAAGACATTGAGTTTTTCCAGATTTTCGTTAAAAGGATGCAGGAAGCCCAAGCCAGCAAAAAAGCCGGCAGGGGGAATCGAGCCTGGGACCCCTGTTTTGCGACACCGGCTCCCCGAAGACTACGTTTAGTGGAACGTCATCAAATTGCCGCGCGGTACGTGGGGGACCCCCCCCCCCTCCCCCCCCGTCCGTACGTTCCCCCCCCAAAAACCTACGTAATAGACGTCGGGCGGGGGGGGTTAGGGGGGGGGTTATCCTCTATCCTCTAGTAAGTATCCGACACGCCGAGCAATGTCGGCGGACTTTAGTCTGCGGGATCCTTTCTCTTCAATTTCTATTCGAAATAGTGCTTTCCCGAAGACTAAAGTAGTCTTGTGCCAACGTTGGCACTGTATTACTTTAGTCTGCGGGACCCTTTCTCTTCAATTTCTATTTGAAGAAGTGCTTTCCCGAAGACTAAAGTAGTCTTGTGCCAACGTTGGCACTGCATTACTTTAGTCTGCGGGATGCGTTCTCTTCAATTTCTATTTGAAAAAGTGCTTTCCCGAAGACTAAAGTAGTCTTGTGCCAACGTTGGCACTGTATTACTTTAGTCTGCGGGATCCTTTCTCTTCAATTTCTAGTCCCAGAGGGTCGCGGCCCTTTCTAGGGAAGGGTTTTGAGAAGTACGTGATAATCGCGCACTTTGTCGTGGAATTGCTCCAGAATGGTCTTTGGCTCAAAAGCCATGCTCAGGCAATGGTTGCTATGATTTGCCACCTTTAGCTGGTGGCATGTTGCAAATTGGGGCACAACTGGCAAACAAGCAATGCTTTTCAGCTAGCAAAAGCGTAGCATCTAACGAATGCGCATTTATTGCAGGTCACAACCATTAATTTAGCTGCAATGGGGTTGCTGCGCTTCGCAGCTCGCTTTGGCGGTCATGCCGAAGGTTTGCCCGACATGTTTGAGCTAATCCTTGCACTGATCACCCGCCGCATGCGTGTGACCAGCAACACAGCTGCCGGCCGCAAGCGTTTTTCCCCTCAAGCCGTTGCCGGTACCGCTGGAGCTGCGATGGCCATGGAGGCCTGCCGGGCGAGGACAATCATGCACCCAATGCGGGTCCGGGTTTCAGAGTCTGGGCAGCACGAGGGGTGGCAATGTCATGATCACAAATTCCATATTTTACATGCGTGTAATACCCCGGATGCGCATGATCCAAGGAAGAGGCCGCCTACATCGAGACCACTTTGAAGCCCTATGTGGAGGATGCGATTGCCAGCATTTGTGCTGACCCTGCCACTTTGATGCACACAGTGTTTTGGGGTAGCCTGGGGCCATATATGTTAGCGCTGTTTTGCAAGCTTGGCTGAGGAGCGGACCATCGTGGCATGGTCAGACATCGACCGCTCTGGCGCGCCTCGGCCGTTTCATGCATGGGCCACGTGTCATACTGCTGCATGGGGTTTGGGCATGCGGCTGCAACTCAGGTGCAGGTGGTGGAGGAATACCTGATCAACAACTACTACTTGATCCGGGATTTCTACTTGGACCACGCTGAGGTGCCCTTGGCACCTTTGAATGACTTCAAGGCCTGTTCTCATGACTTCAATGTTGCACACTTCAATGTTGCACACTTCCACTGCATGAACATGAATCATGGATTGTGTAATTATTGTCAGGCAGCATTTTGCAGCCTGGCGCTCTCGCACAACTTCTGGGACCCAAGCTTCTTCCGGGTCAAAGGGAACAAAGGGCATGTTCGAGAACCTTTGCTGAAACAAATTTTGGTTTGAGCTGTCAGATATCAAAGTTTCATGAACATGATCAACTGTCCGGGATCCTAGGATTGGGCTGGAAGAGAGGCCTGCAGATTCCGGGCAATTGCTTCGCATGGGATACGGATCACGTATCGGACGAGGGCAGCGAGGCACGCTGAGGGCCACACATATGTGCACCAGTAGGAGCCCCGCATGTATGTCCTTTCAAGCGTGTGTTTTTGCCGGCGCCTTTGGCAGGCATCCAAAGATCAAGATTTTGAAATCGATCGTTGCGGACATGCGGCACGTTCATGAGCTAAAGCCGGAGCTGAAGGTGCAGGCCGATGATCCGTGTGTGAGTTTCTGTTCCGATATCAGGATTTGTGATTCGATATTGGCATATGCTGTCTCATGATCAGGATTCCGATGCATCGTGCGATGAAGCTGATGCAAAGTGCCCAAGCCCCAATGAGGCCCAAATATGCACATGATCACCATGTGCAGAATTTGCAGTCCTCGCCTAGACTAGTCAGATCCCGCCTTGCACGCTTGATGTAGGCGGTGGTGGATGAAGCCAACCTGGCGCAAGATCCATATCAAGAATTTGAGCTCGAGGACAAGCCCTGCTTTGATGCAGCAGACGATGAGCCCCTTCAGGCGTGCATGCATGGAGGGGCTAGGTACTTGGACCCAATTTAAAATGCCCTAGCGATGCCCAGCCTTTTCCATCGATCCGGTGCGCAGGCTGGAGATCTGCAAGGACCTGGCGCGGACGATGTGCAGGCAGTGGTAGCCAGTGTGGTGGCGCAAGAGCCGGTGGACTTGGTGAATGGCACCAAAAAGCCCTATGACCCTTGGCATGCAAATATGCATTGGTTGCAACATTCGCTAGTTCACGCAAATCGTGTATTTTGAGGGGTCGAAGATTGGTCAAAGTAGCTGAGCGCGAAAAACAACAGTCGCAGGGAAAAGCAAACACACATGTTCGATTGGACCAAACCCTGCATGTACAAATAGCCCAACTCGATCATGATCACCCGGGTTGCATTTTGTTTCTGCATTCATGCGCACATGCATGACTAGTTCGCTGCACATGCCTAGGCGCGTGGTGCTGCCCTTCGCACAGACCAAAGGGTTGACCTCCCGAAAGCATTGGTGGGGCCGGCCATGAATCAGAACGAAATGGAGGAGTTCGTCAAGATTCACGCTGCCCAAGCAGCCCTTCGTGTGGCCAAGAAGGAGGACCCGATTTTTGGTTGTTGGCCGAGAATGTTGACGACAGCATGAGGGGGCCTAGGCAAATGTCATGAAACTAACTGCGATCCATGTACCGTACAATATGCATGTGCGGAGGAGGAAGTGAAGGAGAAGAGCGACAAGCTGGATGCCAGCAAAGAAAAAAAGGCTGCAGCCGAAGCCAAAAAGGCTGCCATCAAAGCCAAAAAGGATGCTAGCAAAGCCAAAAAGGATGCCAAGCAAGAGCAGAAAAGGCAAAAGGCTGAGCTCAAGCTTGCCCAGGCTGTTCCAACGGCTGCAAGCACACAAGCAAAGCGCAAGCAACCGGCAGCAGAGAAACCCGCTGGCGCTAGCAAGAAAACCAAGGCAAAAAAGGCAAAGGTTGAGCCGGAGAAGCCTGCGCCCAAGCCGGACCAGGTCCCAGCCGCACACCCTGCACCGCCAGCAGACAACGCAGCAGCAGCACGGAGGCAACAGGGTGCGGTGGCTGGTTTCCAGGACCTTTCGGAAGCCGTGCAGTCTCTGCCACTCCCTGGCCTCACACTGCCGCAGCAGGGCTTCAACCGGCAGCGCCTTGGCTGTCAAGCATTGCATGGATACATGTACATATACGTATCGTCGATACATATATAATATATATATGTACATATATAGCGATTTAATATCATATCGCCGAATCGACACATGTTAGTCGATCGATGAATAATCAATATTAGCCTGCAGGAGCTTTACGGTACCTGCGCCCACCGATCGACCCGGCACATGTTCAATTGGTGTGGTGCTGAACTCAAAGTCCTTCTATGTCAACAAGATGGCCATGCAATGCGGCCCTGCACGAGCAACTTGGTGGCTGCATGAAACATTGCACGAGAGATGATTTCAACTATCGATGCATGCAACATCATGCAACCCATGTTTGCATCAACTCAGGTCAACAAGAAAGGTGGGGCCACTCTCCCATGGGCTTGGTTTGGCAACATTGCTGAGGCGTGCCTCGGTGTGACAATTAGCACCTTGTTTTCTAGATCTAGAATTGTATAAAAACATAACCAACTGGCAATTGGCCGCAATTCCCTCGCATTGCATGGTTCACCCTCCTGCCTGTGGCACCTTGCAAGACTCCATTTTCTGCGATCCCAATTTAGCACCTTTTAAACAAGTTGCTCCATGGGACAATGCTACGGAACCAGCTAGTGCGTGATCGGGGCCCATTAAGTCCCATCCATCCAGCTAGTAGCAGGAAAATTCTAGACTAACCAGCATCCTAGGTGGGATTGTGCAACGCAGTGTGCTGGGTGGAAAGCTGGCAATGGTGGCGCTGGCGCTGCTGGCAATAATCCTCCAGGTGGACTTCCAGCCCTGACTGATGGCGCACCAGATCTCGCCGACTAAGTCTCACTCGCATGGGGTCCAGGCTGAACAAGTATACGTATACACAATTCACCAAATCAAGGTATATTAAGTAATTAGGATGACCTCAAAACCTTAAACCTATTCATGATCAGCCATAGGACACCTGCACGTGCATCTCAAGAAATTGGATAGCTGGGGATACTTTCAAAGTTAACTATGGGTGCCTAGATCTGGCATGTTGGTCTTGTGCGTATATATGATCAACATCAAGTCAAAGCTACACGCATTTGGATTCGATTTATTGAGTGGGAGCCAGATTTGGGTCCGTCCGGGGATTGGGGCTTCAAGCTGACACTGGCCTCCTCTAGAGCCGGCTATGCTCGGCCAAGGCCCAGGCCATGTCAGCTTGCCAAAGCCTTGCAGGCAGCGAGCTCGCACATCAGACCAAAAAATGTGTGTGTGTGTGTGTGTGCAAGCATGTAGTTAACGACCTGCATTCATTGATAACATGGCATCGATCATGATCAGGCATGGAGAGTGCAGCCACATGCAGCACGGTGTAGTTAGCTGCCTGGTGCTGGCCAGGTGCTCGCAATGACCGCGCCAGACCTGCAGGAGCAATTCAGCTTGGGACAGGTGCGCAACCCCCCCTGCCTGATCATGATCTTACGACCTCATGAGTTTGCATGATCATGTCAACATTGCGCATGACATCGATTGAAACATGAACATGTAGACGTTGATTCACCAATCCAGTTCGCTGCTAGTACTAGTGCATTGGTTGCAGGGATTGATCAAGGGCATGAGTTGCCTTTAAACCATTCATGATTGTGAGTAAAAATAGTAAACCAAGAAGTTTGGCCCTAGGCCTCAATTGTCAGGGATCCGACAAAGTGGCCTTGGCGATCAGGCAAGGTCACTTGATGGCTCGTGCAGCATTTTGGGTCCCAAGCGGACGTGCGCGTGATCATGGATCGACCCATGCCCTCGCAATTTGATGGGTTGCCAAACCCTCGCCTGCACGAGAGCCTCAAGCTGTCCAAGATGCAAGTTCTTTGCTTGCGTCTGGCCATGGGATTCCCGCCCGTGCTGAACCTTTGCAGCATGAGAATCAATCGAACATTCTGTACATGTGAATTGCAATTGTATATGCAAATATCGATATGTTGCATGCCAACTGAGGGTGCACTTCTGCGACTATGTGTACCAAGTCATGCCATTTGAATCGGCCCGGCGTGATTCTTGGCCATGCTAAAGTGTCTTAATCGATAGATCGTGCGCATGTTCTATAAATAATCTCGTGCTGCTCAGGACCTTGCATGCGTCGAGCTCTTTTCGGGATGTGCCCAAGTAGTTGCAGGGTTTCGACCCTTGGATGCATTTTGCGAGGATTGGCCAACCATATTCTGAACCCCCAAACCCGCATGCGATCTGTATTCGGGGCTCCGGCGGACATGTGCACATACCAGCGAACTGCCTGGGCCGGGCGCTAAGGAGAATGTGGAATGCCAGCGTGCCTTCGAATGCAATACATGTGAATATGTTCGAAGATCCATGCATGATAAATTAGTATTACGCACGTACACATGTGGATGCTTGAATATTGATTTATATTAGCTGAGGCAGCCGTATGACATCACCCGGGACCAGACGGAGAACCTCATGCACACCCTGGGATTTGCAAAGGCTGTTGGCCTCACCTTGCGGGTGATGGCGACAGGTTTGTTCTTCGCTGCGGTCCCTTGCAACAGCTACACCTTCCTGAGCTCAGGGACGCATGGAAGAAGTGAGGGCAGGCCATTTGGCCGAGAGTGCTATGGCTTCGTCCATGATGGCACGGTGCTGGCAGCAAGAGTGGCGCTGCTTGCAGCACTCAGCATTGCCCGGCAGGTGCAATGGTTCTGCGAGAACCCGCTGCGAACGACCGTGACCTACCACCCGTACATTGCTCACCTGCTGCAAATGGCGCCCACGCAGCCAACTGTGGTGAGTTGGTGGGGGCCTCATTTGCGGAATCAATATATAAATATCTTATTAATATAACTCATCAAGTGTTGCTTGCTGCACATGTGTACTTGCTCCCCAGTGGCTTGATTTGAGGCACATGGGAAACTTCGGTGGATGGAGTGCCAAGCCGCAGGTTGGCTTTGGAAATGCGCCACTTGGTACCATAAATTGGAGATGACAAGTGTGTGTGTGTGTGGTTGCAATTGCAAATCACTTGCTAGCTAAGGGGATGGATGCCCTGGCTTCAGCGCCCCATGAGAAAAGGCTTGCGGCTCCTCCTGAAGCAACGCCGGGAGTTCCAGGGCGGCAAGGAGATGGTGAAAACAACAATCAAGAAGAACAGGGCGGGCGAGGAGGTTCGGCAAGTGACCCTTGGCATGCAACATATTTGCAATTGTCCAATATGCAACTATTTGAACTCTTGAATTGCGAGCTAAGGGCTGGAGGAAAAGATCTCAAATCTTCACAATGCTATCCAAAGGCATTTGGGAGAGAAATCGCTCGCTTGCACAGCGAATGGGTGGTCGCTCAGCCGCAGCTATTGTGCGTCATGGCCAACTGCATAAACTGCTAAACGTTTGCAACCCGCTTAAGGTCAGTGAAATTGCAACCGTACCCACTTAAGGTCAGCGAGCAATTCAAGATGCAGAACATGAGGGCTTTCTGCAAAATCTACCAGGCCGGGCGGCTCTGTGTGAATCATGATCTTGAATTCAACGCGTGCATATCGCCACGTCCCATGCGCACATTACGTGCAATGCCAGGCCTCGGACGAAGTGATGGACTGGTCAAAGGCCGAGCTGGAGCCGATCCTGGACCTGCTGATGTGTGCAATCGGGAATGGGGACTTTCGCCCGGACCCTTGCCTGCCCCTTTCATTAAGTGGTGGCAAGCAGATTTGGATAGATGCCTGCAAGGCATACAAATACGCGTTTGACCCCTCGCCCTTGCTGCAGCAATCCTGATCATGCGCATGTATATTCCCAGGGGGTCCAAGTACCTCATATTTGCGGATTTGAGGAATGTGTAATTGACGAATCCCCTTGAACAAAACCCAAAAAAGTACATATTGCAATATTAGGACTTAGGACCCTCTGGGATTCACAGCATGCAACAATATCATATCACGTGAGATCAATTATATATATATATATAGGCCTAGGGCATAGCATATATGAATATTGCCGTGCAGATATATCTGACATGAATGCACATGGACATGGATCGCTGCAAGGCAAATTCGGAGCTCGAGTGCTTTAGTGCTTTGCGCCTGTACCTGCGCACACAAACGATGATCCGTGCAAAATACAGCGGAGCCCTTGATCCGATTGGATATCCACATGTGGCGTACATGCACAGGCTTGTGCACACGTTGCTGAGACCTTGATGTCCTGCATGCGCAGTGTGACCATTGGCTCAATGATACGTACACGGGCATCGGTGATTTGAAATTTCACTCAAACATAGCGCTCATTTGAGGTTTATAACTAATTTCACTCGAAAGGGGCCACAGGGTCATCACAGGGGGTGCGTTAAATTTGCGTTAAACTGCGTTAAAGGCCGTGAATAGATAGTTTCCAGCGTTAAACCGCGTTAATTTTCGAGTGCCCGGATTTTGCAGCCATGGGGAAAGCTGGCCGCTCACAATCTGCAACTTACCAGCACCAGACATGGCATGCTCCCAAAGCACCTCCTGAAGATGGGGTTTTGGGGACAAAGAAAAGGGTAGTAATGCTGTAGGCGCCCTTGGCTCATTTAGTTACTGCTGTGTATCCCAGGCCGAAGACATCAAGGAGTCTGGAAAGTTCGATGCTGCTAAGGAAATGGCTTTGGTACAAGCCCGAATGCAGGTCAGGAGTGCCTTGTTCAAAAATACGCACATGTGTACCATGATTGCATATAGAGAAAAAGCAAATTTTGCGCATGAGGTTCGGGGCGTCCGCAATCACTCAGCCCGGCCCCCAAGAAGCGTGCCCCTGCCACGCCCATGAAGAACCGGAAGGTGCCGGATCCGGAGATGGCGCCTGATCAGGAGGCAGTTCCCTCTACAGCCTCGACCCCGATCAAGAGCCCATTTGGCAAAAAACAGAAACCAAATTCACCTGTTAAGCCAATGGAGGTTGATCAGGTTGGTCATGCAGACACCCTGCCGGATGACACAATTCCAGCGAGCCAGCCATGCTTGGATCCCAATCTGCATTCTAGAACATTGTTTTAAACGTTAATAATAATTACATGGTGCATTGAAGTCATGCTCCATCATCGAATCATGTCATGATCGATCGAATATCTGAGGACACACTGGAACATCTTGATGAGGAGCAAAAGGATGCTGACGCTGGTTTCTTGCCAGCATAACAGTGCAGTGTATTGATCATGCAGCTGTATTCAACATTGGTGTTTCCTGGGGCTTGTATGGTACCTATGATCGTCAACGTCTTTCAGGTCCGGCCCAAATCAAATGCCTCGACAGTGTGGAGACATTGCCACTCCCGGGCGCCGAGCCTGATCTTCACCAAGCTCTGTGGCTCTTCCTGCAAGGCAGCGATTGCAAGGGCAATGATGAGGTGCATGAGGCAATCTCCCGGTGGATTCACTTTCATGCGTCTTGGGGTTTCAAGCCGGAAACCAACGAGAACATCAAGCAAGCAGCCCTTACTGTGAGTCAAGCCGCAAAGGAAGCTTGGCAAGCACAGGACGCTTTCAACAAAGTCGCCAGCGACGTTGAAACAAAGATGGCTGCATTCCGAGCAACTGCAAAGCTCAAGGCTACGCATGCAAACGACACCCCTCAGCAGGCTGCAACGCGAGCTCAAGCTGTCAAGGCTTGGCTGGACAGCAAATGCAAAGATGTGCAGGTTGCATCAGCTGTTGAAAAAGCCAAGGAAAAGCATGACCGTACGGTTGCTTGGCATGAGGCATGTCTTGAAAACTTGGTGCAAGTGTTGCAAAAGGAGCACGGGCAGCTTTGCCTCTTTCGAGATCCAACAGCCGATGAGGAGCTTGAGGAGCTGATAAATGCTAGTTTCGCTGCAGGGGTCCCTCTACTCCGGATCCCAAAACCTCGAGATGTTCCTGAACATGCTGATGGAGAAACAGTCGCTCCATCGCCCAAGATTAACCAGCAGCCTCCACCACCCCAGGAAGTCATTCCACCCAAGCCCAACCAGCAGCCTCCACCACCCGAAGAAGTCCTTGCACCCAACGCCAACCAGCAGCCTCCACCGCTTGAGGAAGTGGTTCCACCCAAGCCCAACCAGCCTGGGCAAGTGGTTCCCAAGCCCAACCAGCAGCCTCCACCGCCTGAGGAAGTCCTTCCGCCCAAGCCCAACCAGCAGCTTCCACCGCCTGAGGAAGTGGTTCCACCCAAGCCCAACCAGCAGCCTCCACCTGAGCAAGTGGTTCCCAAGCCCAGTCCACCCACACCCAACCAGCAGCCTCCACCTGAGCAAGTGGTTCCCAAGCCCAGTCCACCCACGCCCAACCAGCAGCCTCCACCTGAGCAAGTGGTTCCCAAGCCCAACCAACAGCCTTCACCTCCAGTGCCAATTGCTCCATTGCCCAATACCCCAGCAAAATCTGCTGTTCCTTGGATTTATTGTACTCTAGATCTGAACCATGATGTGTTAACATTTACTCGACCAAGCCCGTCCTTGATTGCGCCCCGGATGAGGCTCCAGAAGATGCGGAGGCCTCGCGAGCGGAGATTGCGCAGGCACAGACCAAGGCTGCCAAGCTGATGTTCTCGAGAAAGGACACCACTCAGCTAGAAGCTACTCAGCTTTAACATGTGTTGTGTTCAATATTGTCGCAACTAGATTTTGATTGATCGATTTTGTCCATCGACCGAATCTGCTAAGGCTGAACAAGAAGCTAACTGCCGAGTGGAGTGCGAGGATGGCACAGTGATGTACAAAGGCCCCGGAGGCCGATTGGAGACCCACGCTGAGCGCCAAAGCCGATTGGCGCACAACTGCTACATGCGATTCAGCAGGAGCTTGAAGTGCAACTCACTTGCATTATATATATATATATATTTAAACTGCATCACAACATACTTGATCATGATCGATGATTGTGTGGGGTCACGGGTCGATGTATATTTTGTTTTGTTTTATCTCAGGCCGGGACCTGCCACCGAGTGTGATGGAAGCCGCAAAGAAGCGGAAGCACAGCTGCCTGGCAGAGATACGGTATCTCAGCATGTGCATGTGAAGGCATGCAAATTTGCATGCATGTGCGTGCAACTAAGACAAATCGATCCTCGATAGTCTTTTTGAAGACTGGCTTTCTGCTGGAGAAGATTGGAGCGAATCCAGCATCGTTCTCAATCACAAATCCACGGAGACCAGCAAGAAGCGTGGCCGCTATGTGATGAAGCCTTACCGCACCCTGAAAGAGCTGCATGGAAAAGGCATGGCAGAAAAACTCTTGCAACGCAAGCAGGAGCAGCAGCGTGCGAAGGGTGACGCAGAGCCAAACTGGGTGGAGGCGCACCCGGACTTTCCTGATGTCCAGGACCTTCTGTCACTTCTTGCGTGTGCCTTGTGTACAGGTGTGTGTACATGTGTGTGTGTGTGCATGTCATGTGTGTGTGCAGGACTACATGCTTCTCCGGGTGTGGGACAGCACCGAATTTTCTGAGGAGGAGGAGACAAGCACTTCGAAGTCGCACAAGGTTGAAGCCAATGTGGACTCTGACCAAACTCGGGTGCTTGTGAAGCCACTTGGTTCTACATACCCCTTGGTTTTTGAATCGTCCCCCCCCAGCTCATTTTTTTTTCAAGACTATCTTCCATTTTTCCTGCCCAGGTCGATGATGGGGCAACGTGGCCTTGCCTCTGGTGCGCCTGCTGCGCCCGCAGCTGCACCTCCTGCACCTCAGGACCCGGCGCCTCCGAGGGCGCCCAAGAAGAGCAACCCGTATTCATTTGCGAAGGTTATTTCCGGCAAGCTCTCCGTGGTGTCTGGCAAGCTTACGGATGTGATTTGCTGGGAGAGCAAGATCCAGGAGTCCTCATTGCAACTGGGCTGTGAGATCAACAAAGAGTCAGCGTATAAGTAATTTTGAGCCCCACCAAAAACAACTCCGATCTGGGACCGATGTTGACTCTCCTGCACACTTGAATTTACACACATGCTGCTGCCTTGATCTAAGGAGTGACCAAATGAAGCAGGGCTACAAGGAGGAGCTTTTAAAGCGAAAACAGGGATTGCAAAACACCAGGGAAGCCCTTGAAGCTTGGTACACCTCCAACAGCCGCACAACAGATGAAGATCTGAGCGAGTCTGCCAAGACTAGCTACGAGAGCCTGCTGGGCCAAGCTGAAAGCATCACCCTGGACTACGCGGGCCTGCTGAAGACTTTGAAGCCAAACCTCGAACCTTTACGAATAATTGCATGGATCATGATCATGGATTTAAATTACCTTTTGTTTTTGTGATCATGGACGTGCACATCCAAGGCCCCAGCGTCTGCCAAGAAGAAGGCTTCCAGCAAGAAGTGAGCGCCTGGCCACACACTTGATGCCAGCTGCTGCCGATGTGCATCAGTGAGTTTTGTGTGCACTGATTTGGGGTGCGCTGTGATGAGTACTGCGGCTTTGACCCTGGGATTCCCGGGCGGCACTAGAGCTCTTGCATAGTGTGGGGTTGCAAGCGCCCTGCCACTTAGCCTCAGTGCCTGTACACAGCCGAGATTTACATTTGCACACAAGTGCCCGTGGTGGAAAAGTAGTGAGATGTCAATCTGCGGCTCTCAAAATTGCGTTTTATGTGCAAAAGCGCATCCAGCCCCTACGCAGGTGGCAGTACTGATCGGGCTGATCGGCGGGCGGAAACCTCGCCCCTATTTCGGCACCTCCTGGAACGTACTGGAAGAGGGGCTGCTGGGCTCTGTATACGTATAGTGCGAGCAAATGCCTGCATGCTGTACATGTACTGCATGCATCAAGCTCATGATCAGGATACCTCCTTCCAAGCAGCGCGAGAGACTTTGCGGGCTGTTTCAAAGGACTTGCGTGCGCATCAAATTTTACATGAGGCAAACAATTTGGCTACTTCGAAGATATCTTGCGCAGGAATTTCGATGGCATGGAGTTGAGCTTCAAGGGCCCTGCAAGACATTGAAATCAGCGGGCGCTTCGGGAAAGTGGTCCAGCAACGTGCAAAGGGACATGCTGAACAGGATTGGCACGAAGCACAGGGTGCCCAGATTCTGCACGCATTTACTGCATGCATGAGGGCGCCTGATTCGAATAAACGCATTTAATGTCATGTGCGTATCTCAGGTGCCAATGCATGAGATCACAGTCCCCACCAAGCCTCCTCGCGGTTGCCAAGGACCAGCAGAAAGGAGAGCCTGCGTGTGTGATCGATTGGTGATGGACAAGAATTGCATGTTGATGATAGCTGTACTTAGCGCTTGCATGATCGTGTGCGTGCAGGAAGCTATCCATTGTGCTCCCCCATGAGTTGATGCCCTGGCTACTATTCCATCACAAGTTGGTGGTGAAGGGGTCTGAGGTGTCTGAATTCTGGGCCCATGCTTTGCAGGTTGAAGCACCGTGGCTTTGGGCGGGGACGTGGCGGCACATCCCGTTGTACATTTGGGGGGATGACTGCGTGTACAACGAACAGGGAGCAAAGCTTTTGGTGATATCTATTGGCACCTGCTTCCGTGATGGGGGCAATGCCTATGACAGCTGCTGGCCGCTTTGCGTTTGCCGGTGCGACGCTGGGCCTATGCCATTGCATTTTTCTGGATGCTCAGTTTAAGCTCTTTTTTTTTAAACGTATACCGGGCCCGGGGTACCTGAACGCAGTTAAGGACTTATCCGTCGGGTTCCCAACATTGAACGCTATTCTGCAACCGGCTGCCTAGCAGCGCTTGTTGTGAGCACCGACCATGCAATATGCAGTGTGAGCAATTTGAACATATGCATGAATCAAGTACGTACTAGATTGTGGACTCTTTGAAGAAGCTCCACGCGGGTGTCAATCTTGCGCCTGGTGCAGCCGCATGGAGCGCTGGGCCATCCTGGGTGGAGGGATTTCGGAATCACAGACTGTACGCATGTGTTGTACAGATTCGTGGGGATTGGAAGTGGCAACGGGAACCTTGGATTAAAATAAATTGCTGCATTGCAATTTATGCTTTCAGAGTCTGATCGCCCGAGCTCTAAATTTAGGAGTGGCTCAACCTCAGTGTGGGGTACCGCAACAACGAGGTATGTCATCACTGCCGTGTGCAGAAGGAAGAAGTGTTTGCGAGGGAGCTTCATCGACGAGACGAAGACATGGCAGATGCCATGAAGGATCCCCGGAGCATCTTGTCACAAGTTGGAGGCATGTGCACCTAGATCATGCCGACGGAGCATTCGCATTCAACCAAGGTCCTTTGACCGAGATTCCTGGCTTTTGTGGGTCCATGGTGCGATGGTGCAGCATGCACGCCCTCAACCTTGGTGTGTGTGCTTGGGTGTGTGGGTCTGTGCTGAAAACACTCATCATGCATCATTCGAAGTGGGCAACTGATGATGGTCGTGATGAACCCCAGCAACTAGAAGCCGCCTTCAACGAGTTTACAAGTTGGGCAAAGGCAAAGCGTATGGAGCAACCTGACAAAACCAAAAAAATTGCTTAGCGGTGTCTATATATGTGGTCAATGTATGTCGTCCCCCTGTATGCTGAGGCATTCCCAGAATGGCTTCAGGCTGATCTTTCCGCAAGGATCAAAGTACCCAGAGCTGGCTATGAAAGCTTGGAATGCACCTTGGCATGCATGCATGCTCCCTCAAAATTGATGCTAGTTATTCACCCGCATGTGAGGCACGGGTCATTTCAGCTTGGATTGCAGAAATTTGCATTGCAGCCTATAATGGCAACCCGGCCGATGAGCAGTTGTCCTGCATGGCCAAGCTCACGTGGCTTGGACTTCAAAGTACTAAATATATAGTTTATAGCTCATGCAAGCAAAGTCATTCCCCACCCAACCATTGCAGGTGGAGCATTGGCGCCTGGTTCAACATGGTGGAGGACCATGACATGTACCTGACACAGGATCAAGCACAAAGCTTGTGCAATTTGTGTGCGCCTTGGCAACATGGCTGAACCTTGAACCTTGTACACACATGCACGGGTGCAAGCAAACTGCTTTTGCGATTTAAGGATGTTGCTTTGGACAACTATGGCAGGCTGGCGCTCATGGCCGTGCGTTCGCAAGAATACCTTTGGCCGGCAAGGCCGAAACTCCATGTTTCTTGGCCATGGTGATCATGCAGTTTGCTGACAGCACTTCACACAAGCTTTCTATCGATGCTCTTGGTGCGGTAAGGCCTTCCGTGAGTTGAGTTTGCATCAGCTTTGGGAGAGTGCCCTGTCTGCATGCATTGCTTTGCACATGTACATGCATGCTGTTAACTGACTGCTGCCGCTCAAGGGCTGAACTCGCGCCACGAGCACGGGTTCCAGTGTGAGGATTTTGTTGGAAAGTTGGCCTGTTACTTGGCTTTGCATTTGGTGCATGCCTGAATATTCATGAACATGTTGCGTGCTAGTTCATCGTTTGGTGTATGTGTTTTGCAGTGTCCTGATGAGGCTTGGCGGCTGCATGCCACAAGCGAACGCTTGAGAAGGTTTGCTTGACCCGATGGTACATTAGGATGTACCACGGGCTGAACAAGTCTGACCATGAAGAGTCAGACTAGCCGGCGGGGGCACGTCGTCACCAGACCGCGCGGGTAGGCGGAAAAGTGAGCCAAATGGCATTTGGCCGCGCGCTTGACTCTATCCTGGTCTGAGCGGGTACTCAGGCCCATTAATGTACATTTGAGGTCTTGTTTTGAAAACACCCTCTGGCAACACGCTTGAGACCCTCTGGGAGTTGAAAAAGTGCTTTCCCGAAGACTAAAGTAGTCTTGTGCCAACGTTGGCACTGTATTACTTTAGTCTGCGGGATCCTTTCTCTTCAATTTCTAATTAAAAAAGTGCTTTCCCGAAGACAAAAGTAGTCTTGTGCCTTTCCCGAAGACTAAAGTAGTCTTGTGCCAACGTTGGCACTGTATTACTTTAGTCTGCGGGATCCTTTCTCTTCAATTTCTAATTGAAAAAGTGCTTTCCCGAAGACTAAAGTAGTCTTGCGCCAACGTTGGCACTGTATTATTACTTTAGTCTGCGGGATCCTTTCTCTTCAATTTCTAATTGAAAAAGTGCTTCCGAAGACTAAAGTAGTCTTGTGCCAACGTTGGTTGGCACTGTATTACTTTAGTTTGCGGGATCCTTTCTCTTCAATTTCTATTTGAAAAAGTGCTTTCCCGAAGACTAAAGTAGTCTTGTGCCAACGTTGGCACTGTATTACTGTAATACAGTGCCAACGTTGGCACAAAACTACTTTAGTCTGCGGGAGCCATTCTCTTCAATTTCTAATTGAAACAGTGCTTTCCCGAAACCTAAAGTAGTCTTGTGCCAACGTTGGCACTCTGTATTACTTTAGTCTGCGGGATCCTTTCTCTTCAATTTCTAATTGAAAAAGTGCTTTCCCGAAGACTACAGAAGTCTTGTGCCAACGTTGGCACTGCCATTACTTTAGTCTGCGGGATCCTTTCTCTTCAATTTCTAATTGAACAAGTGCTTCCGCGAAGACTAAAGTAGTCTTGTGCCAACGTTGGCACTGTATTACTTTAGTCTGCGGGATCCGTTCTCTTCAATTTCTATTTGAAAAAGTGCTTTCCCGAAGACTAAAGTAGTCTTGTGCCAACGTTGGCACTGTATTACTTTAGTCTCCGGGATCCTTTCTCGTCAATTCCTAATTGAAAAAGTGCTTTCCCGAAGACTAAAGTAGTCTTGTGCCAACGTTGGCACTGTATTACTTTAGTCTGCGGGATCCTTTCTCTTCAATTTCTAATTGAAAAAGTGCTTTCCCGAAGACTAAAGTAGTCTTGTGCCAACGTTGGCACTGCATTACCTTAGTCTGCGGGATCCTTTCTCTTCAATTTCTAATTGAAAAAGTGCTTTCCCGAAGACTAAAGTAGTCTTGTGCCAACGTTGGCACTGCATTGCTTTCGTCTGCGGGATCTTTTTTCTTCAATTTCTAATTGAAAAAGTGCTTTCCCGAAGACTAAAGAAGTCTTGTGCCAACGTTGGTTGGCACTGTATTACTTTAGTCTGCGGGATCCTTTCTCTTCAATTTCTAATTGAAAAAGTGCTTTCCCGAAGACTAAAGTAGTCTTGTGCCAACGTTGGCACTGTATTTCTTTAGTCTGCGGGATCCTTTCTCTTCAATTTCTAATTGAAAAAGTGTTTTCCCGAATACTAAAGTAGTCTTGTGCCAACGTTGGCACTGTATTACTTTGGTCTGCGGGATCCTTTCTCTTCAATTTCTAATTGAAAAAGTGCTTTCCCGAAGACTAAAGTAGTCTTGTGCCAACGTTGGCACTGCATTACTTTAGTCTGCGGGATCCTTTTTCTTCAATTTCTAATTGAAAAAGTGCGTTCCCGAAGACTAAAG